CCGCTCCTACCGCGGCTAGAGACAGCGCCTAGCTGACCACCATCCCACTCCCCTCTCCCCGCGCGAGTATTTCCCCGGTAAGGGGCACGCTAGAGTCGCTCCTGATTGGCTGTAGGCATCCGGAGTTAAACTTTCAGCCAATGAAAAAGGGCATAGGGCGTGACGCACGGAAACGTCACGGGAATTCCCCCCTCCCGGGGGCGGAAAAGGGGCTTTCCCCGCTGGAGCCCTGGGACTGGAGAGGTGTCGCGACAGGTCCGAGGTGGGTCGGGCCGGGAGAGAAGCGGGAACCGAAGCCGCCGCCGCGGTGAGTGGCCGGGTTCAGATCCCTGGGTGGCCGAGGCACGGGAAGGGCGGGAGGAGGGCCCGTGACTGATGGAGCTCCAGGACTGGAAAGCGGCATTTGCACACACACGCAGAGCACGCACACGAACCAGACACCCGGATACACACATCGGCATCCTTGTACAAAGACACGCGGACCCGTACCTATGCCGGCGAGTGCACAGCATCGTCCGTGTGCTCAGCTTCGCACACACGTACACATGCAAACATACTCACCCGTTCTCAGGTGCCTGGACCCCATACCCTTCACGCAAAAACTCAAAGATATGTCCACCGGCGCCCTTCATACCAAGACAAACTCAGACATGTGTCCACCCTGAGAAGTTTAAGGTCGCTCACCTGTTGCACGCACGCCAGCACATGGGCTGAAATAAGACTTGTATACCTGTGATGGAGACACACACCTCACACAGGGCCTGGGACTGGAGCAGGGGCGTGAGCACCCGTAACAAGTGCGGTGTGGGAATTAACCGCTGCCGAGATGTTTCGGGGAGAGGGCCCATCCCAGAGAGGAGACAGCTTTCCTCCCTCCCCCCACACCCCAAGAGACCGGCTCCTGGGGCAGAACCCCGGAGCCCCCCACTGGGAAGAGCCCCCGCCTACAGGCCTTCGGGGAGGAGGCCTTCCTACAGCAGGAATGTCCCCCCAAAAGCCCCCGGGTGAATCAGCCGTGGCCTCCCTTTGGGTAGAAAATCCCAAGGTTGCTCCAGCGTGGGGGAGGCGAAGGGGGCGGGAGGCGGGCCTCCTCCCCGGTCTAGGAGCCTCTCCAGGTCTTGAAAGACCCAGCAGTCCCCGGCACCTGCCCTGGAGAGAGGAGGGGAGCCTAGCCCCACGGGGGCTTCCCTGGGTCTGGTTGCCCCTCTCCCTGCAGAGGCTGCGGGCATCCAAAGGCCGGTGCCGATCAGGCGCCCCTCCCGCGTCGGGGGCGTGGTCAGTGCGTCATTTCCAGTCCCGCCCCCTCCGGCCCCGCCTCCCCCTGGTATTTTCGGGACTTTCCTAAGCTGTTCTAACTTTCCTGCCCCTTACCCGGCCTAGCCCAGCCCAGCTCCCGATTCGCCCTCCACCGGATCTCCCCCGCCACACCCGGACGGGTGGCTGGAGGAGATCCGACCCTCCCCCTAATCTGGGACCCCCTCTCCCCGCACTCCGGTCCCGATCTGTCTCTCACTCCCCCCGCCACTCCTCCTAACCTAAGGCGGGCGCCTGAAACTCTGGGAAACCGAATCCGGCCGGAGCCACCAGACAGAACCGGGCCTAGCCCAGAGACATGGAGAGCTGCTACGACCCAGTGAGTCACTCCGCCCGGCCCCGAAGCCGGCCGGCTGCCCCCGTTTGTCTATCAGTCGGCCTGTGCTCCTTCTGCTCCCTTACACCTGTAATGCCTCCGATTATTTCAGCCCGCCTGTTAGTCTGTCTGCAAACTGCTTCCAATGGGAGCTCTTTTATGGACATGAGAAGGAGAGGGAGTGATTACTGAGGGTTTAGAGAGCCGGGAGGTGGAGGGCCCTGGGGGTGGCTCAGGATCAGCTGCCACCCCAGTCTGTCTTCAAACCAGGGTCTGGATGGCATCATTGAATATGATGATTTCAAATTCAACCCTTCCATTATGGAGCCCAAGGAGCCTGCCCCAGAGACAGGTAAGTCTTTTAACCTCCCCTTGTCTTAGCAGTGGTTCTCAACCTTCTGGCCCTTTAAATACAGTTCCTCATGTTGTGACCCAACCATAAAATTATTTTCGTTGCTACTTCATAACTGTAATGTTGCTACTGTTATGAATCGTAAATATCTGATATGCAGGATGGTCTTAGGCGACCCCTGTGAAAGGGTCGTTCGACCACCAAAGGGGTCGCGACCCACAGGTTGAGAACCTCTGTCTTAGAGGGAGGGGGAGGGAGGAGCGTGTGCCTTCTGCCTTGGGGATGAGCTCAGAGATCCTGGATCAGCAAGGCCCCTCTGTCCCCAGCTGATGGCCCCTACCTGGTGATCGTGGAACAGCCTAAGCAGGTAAGTGAATGGAAGGGATGGTAGGGGATGGCTTCAGCTTTGGGGGCAAATGGGGTAGTTGTAGCTGGGTGGTCTTGGGGAGGGTCACTGACCACAAAAGCCACTTAGGGTTGGGATGGTTGGCTGCTGCTGATCACAGTGGTGTGGTTGTGATTCCGGCAGACACTACCAGTCATTATGGTCACTGCTGGCAGGGAGTATGTCTGGCTCTGGGGGGGGGGGGGGGGGGGGAGGCCAGGGGTCCTCCCTGGTCACAATGTCACTCTATCCTGGGACCTTCAGCGAGGCTTCCGATTTCGATATGGCTGTGAAGGCCCCTCCCATGGAGGGCTGCCAGGTGCCTCCAGTGAGAAGGGCCGGAAGACTTATCCCACTGTCAAGGTGAGCAAGGATGGTGCTTGAGGGTGGGCTAGTGGACAGTGTATCCAGGGGTATTACTGACAGCCCTCAACCCTCACAGATCTGTAACTACGAGGGACCAGCCAAGATCGAGGTGGACCTGGTAACACACAGTGACCCGCCTCGTGCCCATGCCCACAGCCTGGTGGGCAAGCAATGCTCGGAACTGGGGGTCTGCGCTGTGTCTGTGGGGCCCAAGGACATGACTGCCCAGTAGGTGTCCCCTACCCCTGGCCCCTACTGGCATGCCCCCTCGTTACCTGCCAGTCCTAGGCCCCAGCCCATCTCTAGGGAGAGACTTAGGTTGGCCCCAGAACCCAAGGCCACAAGTAAAAACCAGAAAAGCTCCCTAGAGGAAGTAAGGCTAGGCTGAGCCCTGGCAGTGGGGTGGGTGGCTCAGGAGGAAAGAACTACCTGCAATACCTCTGACTCTCCTTCCCCCACTCAGATTTAACAACCTGGGTGTCCTGCATGTGACCAAGAAGAACATGATGGAGATTATGATACAAAAACTTCAAAGGCAGAGACTCCGCTCCAGGCCCCAGGGCCTTACCGGTACGGTGGGGAGGGAGTCCTGGGAGGTGGACATGAAAGGAGTAGAGAAAGGGGAGGAGTCCAGAGGTCACATTGTGCCCACTGTGCAGAGGCTGAGCGGCGGGAGCTGGAGCAGGAGGCCAAGGAGCTGAAGAAGGTGATGGATCTGAGCATTGTGCGACTGCGCTTTTCCGCCTTCCTGCGAGCCAGCGATGGCTCCTTCTCACTGCCCCTAAAGCCTGTTATCTCCCAGCCCATCCACGACAGTAGTGAGTATCTTGACTACCTGGGGTGCAAGACCTGGGTGTCAGAGAGAGCCATGAGGCATCCTCAAGCTGTGGAGTCAGATAGGCCTGGGTTTGAACTTGGCCCTGCCGCGTATGACTAAATGATCTTGAGCAAGTCATTTCCCCTCTGAGTATGGTTTCTGTCTTGGGTAAATGCAGATACTAGTGGTTCCTCTTGGGGTTGTTCAGATAACGATGCAAAGCACTTGGCTCCACAAATGGGGCCATAACTTTTACATCATCTCAAGTAATTGATATCCCACCCCCATAGAGTCTCCTGGGGCCTCAAATCTGAAGATTTCTCGAATGGACAAGACAGCTGGCTCCGTGCGGGGTGGAGATGAGGTTTATCTGCTTTGTGACAAGGTGCAGAAAGGTGAGGCTGGAGCCCATGCTGGGAACTAAGGATGCTGGGTGTCAAGATTGGGGGCAAGGGCAACTTCAGGAAAAATGGCCCTGAAGATTCCAGTAGGAGCTGTGGCCAAGCTTCGATCTTCCCTGTAGATGACATTGAGGTCCGGTTCTACGAAGATGATGAGAATGGATGGCAGGCCTTTGGGGACTTCTCTCCCACAGATGTTCATAAACAGGTACCCTCGGGACCCCTGGCCAGGGTGGGGGCCCATCTAGGCCAAGGCCTCAATGACACTGTCTGTCTTCCTTTGGCCCAGTATGCCATTGTGTTCCGGACGCCTCCCTATCACAAGATGAAGATTGAGCGTCCGGTAACTGTGTTCCTGCAACTGAAACGCAAGCGTGGGGGAGATGTCTCTGACTCCAAACAGTTCACCTATTACCCTCTGGTGGAAGGTGAAGCAGGGCTGGAGATCCCAAGGGGGCTGGAGGGCTGGGACTGGGCTGGAAAGTCCCAAGAACCAGATCAGGGTGCCCGTGAGTCAAGTTAGGAGTGGGGAAGGCCCCAGAAAGAGGTGGTCCTAGAGGGCTTTGGGGGGAAGGGTCATTACCAACCTTGGGACGAGGCTCTTGAGTGGCCCATGAGTTGGGGTTCTAACACCACATTTCCCTCTGCAGACAAGGAGGAGGTGCAGCGGAAGCGGAGGAAAGCCTTGCCCACCTTCTCCCAGCCTTTTGGGGGTGGCTCCCACATGGGTGGAGGCTCTGGGGGCTCGGCAGGGGGTTATGGAGGAGCCGGAGGAGGTGAGGGGTGCTGGTGGCATGAAGGGCGGTGGAGGGGCGAGGGGTAAAGGGGAGAGAAGTTGTGTGGGAGGTAATCTGGGAGAGTTCAGGCTGGCGCCTCCTCTCCACAGACTGCTTGTCTTCACAGGTGGCAGCCTCGGCTTTTTCTCTTCCTCCTTGGCCTACAGTCCCTACCAGTCCGGTGCAGCCCCAATGGGCTGCTACCCGGGGGGCGGGGGCGGGGCGCAGATGGCCGATGGGGCACCTAGCGGGGATGCTCGGGAGGGAGCAGCAGAACCGAGCGCGCCCCCCGAGGACCCCCACCGCAAACCGCAAGCTCAGGAGCTGCTGCAGCGAGG